CTCTCTCTCTCTCTCGCGCTCTCTCTCTCTCTCTCTCGCGCTCTCTCTCTCTCTCTCGCGCTCTCTCTCTCGCCTCTCTCGCGCTCTCTCTCGCGCTCTCTCTCTCTCTCTCTCTCTCTCTCTCGCGCTCTCTCTCTCTCTCACACACACTTCAAGTTTTTGGCAAGCATTATAAGGGTGATTAAGTTGATTTGTTCATGTACAAGGTTTAATCATATCCTATGCTTTCCATCCTCAGACAGGAGAACTTCCCCATTCCTATCGCCTTGTCAGTGTCGTTAGCCACATTGGTAGTTCCTCCTCCTCTGGTAAGAACCCCCATCTATTTCCCCAACTTGTACAGCTTTAATTGTAGCATTGGCAGGATACTAACTACCATGGTTTCTTTTCCCCAGGTCACTATATCAGCGATGTGTGCGATGTCAAAAAACAGGCCTGGTTTACATATAATGATTTGGCTGTATCGAGGACACAGGAGATCACCGTTCAGAGTGACCGAGACAGAAGCGGCTACATATTCTTTTATATGCACAAGTAAGTGTTGCTTCTGCAAGTGTTTTGCCGCAAAGCCTTTTCGTGTCAATGGAACGAGTTGCATCTATTTAAAGTGGAATTTTAAGCAGAATCCAAAATGACATATGATGCAGGCTTAGGCTAGCCACCCTGTAACTTCTATTATCTGTTCATCCTACAAATAGACTCATTTTTTCCACTTCCATTACTAGGCCGACAACACGGTTCTGAAGTCATGCAGCAGTGTTGTCACTGTGTGTAGAGTTAGTCTTAGACATGTAGTTTTAAATAGGCTTTGCGTAAACGGCAAAGTAATTAAAGCCCAAAATCATCTCACACTTTTAAAGAGTTATTAAACCCTTATTTGTTTTTACATATATCTATGGCTAGCAAGCAGTAGATATATGCAAATACGCTAAAAATTAGTTTCAAAATGGGTATAAACCTACCTGTGTCTACAGCGCGTGCTCCCGTCCGAACATCTGAAAATATTTTGGGCGGCCGCAAAGGATCTTGGGGCGGGCGCATGCGCAGTTCAGATGTTCGGCTGTGAGACGAGAGACACAAGATAAGTCTATGGAACAGACTCCGTGGGACATCGGAGGAAAGGAGGACAGAAGAGTCGGCGCTGGATCGGAGACCCGCACCAGCCCAGGGGGATTTGACTTTAATGTCAAACAAAATGAATTACAGCTGTCTGTCGTAAATACTCCTAACATTTTGATATGGCTTGTCCCAATCCCTGTAACTGCCACTTCACTGGATTAAGGATTTATATACTTAAGAAGTATTAACCACAGAGTTGCCATAATGCCATAATTTTTTTGGGGGGGCTGTAGTGGGCCTTTAGGAAATATGTATCATTCAGCATGTCTAAGGGTGACTTTACAGAATATAATTGCTGGCTGATTCATTGTCTACGACATTTGGGCAATTTTTAGGGCTACCCAGAGAGCGGTAAGAGGTCGTTCTAGCATTTATGCTTTACAGGTATTTTATTTATTGCTGTCCTATACATACTGCGCACACTATGGTCCCCGGCTCAAATCCTGATCAGGACATTACCTGCAAGGAGTTTGCATGTTCTCCCTGTGCTTGGTTGGGTTTCCTCCGGGTACTCCATTTCCTCCCAGACTCTAAAGACATGCCAGAAGGTTAATTGGCTCCGGTCTAAATTGGCCCTCGTATGCATGTGAGATAGGGACCTTAGATTGTAAGCTCCTTGAGGGCAGGGACTGATGTGAATGTGCATCTATACAGTGCTGTGTCAGTTGACGGCGCTATAAAAAATGCCTATAATGATCATAATTCACATCAGTCCCTGCTCTCAAGGCGCTTACAGTCTAAGCTCCCTATCTCCCATGCACACATACACGTGCTAGGGCCAGTTTAGGCAAGAGACAATTAACCAACCTTGCATGTCTTTGGGAAACTGGTAGAAACCCAGACGAGCAGGCAAACTCCATGCAGATGTTCTGACTGCGATTCAAGCAATGGACACCAGTGCTGCAAGGCAGGGAAGTGCCACGGAGCCATATTTGAAACACTGTCAGTGCACATAGAGACTTTTCTGCTTTGTTTGGTGGTATTTTCTCCCACAAGATTTATATTTATTACTCCTGATTTTTCCCCCCCCTC